TTCCCTTGGAAGTGGTTCGTAATTTCCCCCACTTACGAGCCAAAACTAACTATTTTTTGGCAATTTTTCGCTTGCGTCATTCGGTCAGCAAAGCCATTCATGACTTTTTTCACCAAAAAGGGTTTTATTATGTTCCTGCCCCAATTATTACCAGTAGCGATAGCGAAGGAGCGGGCGAACTGTTTAATATTGCCACTAACAATAAAGAACCGTTTTTTTCCAAAGTTGCTACACTAACAGTTAGCGGACAATTACAAGCCGAAGCACTAGCCCAAGGTTTAGGGAAAGTTTATACTTTCGCTCCTTGTTTTCGGGCGGAAAAGTCTCACACCACTCGCCATTTAGCCGAATTTTGAATGGTCGAGCCGGAAATGACCTTTACTGATTTAGCGGAAATAATTAATTTGGCCGAAAAAATGATAAAATATGTAGTAAATTATGTGATGGATAATAACCTTGCGGAACTAGAATACTTAGAAAACTACGATAAAAAAAATAAAAAAGAATTAGTTAGAAAACTAAAAAAAATTGCTAGCACTGACTTTAAAAAAATTGATTACGAAGAAAGTATTAAGATATTAGAAAAAAATAAGCAAGCTTTTGTCTTTAATGATATTAAATGAGGAATGGACTTAAATTCGGAGCATGAAAAATATCTCTGCCAATATTTCGATAATAGCCCGCTTTTTGTGCTTAATTATCCCCGTGATTTAAAGGCTTTTTATATGAAAAACAACCCCGATGGGAAAACGGTAGCGGGTTTTGATTTATTGTTTCCTACATTGGGTAATCCTACTAAACCAATCTTAACCATTTTAACTTACAAGTCATAAACATAATTAATTTTTTGCTATAAATGCCATTTAACCCTCTAAATGTTGTGGATAACGAGGAAAAGGAATTACATCCCGAATATTTTCTGCTGCACCGAGGAACATTAGTAGCCTTTCCAAGCCTAAACCAAAGCCGGCACTGGGAGCATAACCAAACTTTCTTAGATCAAAGTACCAAGATAAATTATGGAAATCTAGGCCAATTTTTTGTGCCTTTTCTTTTAGAATTTGATAATTATCTTC